CATCTTTAATAGCAGAGACCATCAGTTACAGATACTCTCTTTCTAGTATTAATGCTTAAATTTAACTTTAGTTTAAATTTAGTGTTTTCATACTGGAGTTTCAATTCCATCCAGCCCACTGACTGGAAAAAGCAAGAAAGTTGGGTGTCGCTAATGCGTTTTCTTATTTGTAGATTTTCCTAGTTGGGTGCGTCTGAAATTACAGACACCTAGAGGGTATGTCAATTTTACAATACACCTGGAACCACAAAGCCACTGTTAAGTAACTTAGCTCCCCTTTTTTTTTCTTTATTGTGAATTTACTGAAAGCCCTAACAGCATATTTGCATTTATGGTGTTGCTGAGAAGATCCACCTGGAATGTGAGGATTTGGGTTGGGGGATTAGAGGAAGCTGTAGCAGTTAGGCTGAAGAAGTGACTGGAGCCCATCCTCTCTTTATTCTTTCACTTTTGTCTAAATTTGCTCTGGTGTTAGGAACTGATTGTCTCCTTTCCGAAGGGGAAGCGTGCAAACTTTTAACATTTCATCTCATCCAAAGCTCACCTTTGGTAATTCTCCTTGGAGAACATTATGCTGAGTGAAATATCTCAGTCACAAAAGGACAAATACTGCATAAAGCCACTGTTATAAAACAATACTGACATGGAGGTGGGGGAAAACAAAGAAAAGAGGTAATCTTCAACCAGAGATCAAAAACCAAAGTCATCACACCTGGGCTGCACTGTCGCACCCCACTCCCTTTATTTGAGCAGTGTCCCCGGAAGCAGACAGCCCTCCTGGAGTTAGAGTCTTTTCCTTTACCAATCCCAGAGGGGACCTTTACCTGTTGGCTGCTGTTTATTTCATATTGTGAATGATTCCATGGCACACACATAACTCAGGTTCAGCAAACCTTACCCCTTCATGTTTCCTTTTCCCAGATAATGCTTCCCCATTTTACAGGGAGTCAAGATCATTCTGGCAAGTCCCACTTCTTTTTCTTTTTTTTAAGCAACTTCTGCTTTTCTTTACTTTTTAATTGATATTTTAATGAAAAATGAAAGTTTATAGGGAACTTGGATTTACATTCATTCATTGTTTCGCATTTTCCTCTCTATCCCCCCCTAGATCAACAAAGGGAACAGGCACATGGATCAAAGTCTCAAAGAAAACAGTACAAGCTTCTAAGAATTCTCTCCCAGAGGAGTCACACAGAACAGGCTTAATTTCCCCAGCAGCAGTTGTGGCAGCACGCATGAAATGTTACCCACCAGGGATACTTGTACGTGATCCATTGCTCACAAGTTTTATGAAGGCTGGTCATATGCCTGTTGTTGTGTGTCACCAAGTTAGAACCAACTTCTGTCGAACCCTTCAGCCAGTTTTAGAGGCTATAAATTGCACACGAAGAGATTGTCTCTCTCTGTCCTGTAAAGCAACTGGTGGAATCAAACCATGTGCCTTCAGGTTGGCAGCACAGATATTTAACAGTAGGCCACGAGAGCATGTACCAGAATTGCAGACTCGCAGAAAGAAAGCGAGTATTACCAGTTTACAAGTTGAGAAACATAGTGTTTCTGTTGTTTTGGTTTTGTTGGTTTTCTTGGTTGGGTTTTTCTTCTATTTAATTTTATATTAGTTTGCATACAAAATTCATATACATTGTGTTTCACATTTCATTCATACTGTGTTTTATAAAATTAATCACCATCAAACTCTGCCCACCATTACCCTGTCTTTTCAGGTCCCCACCAGATTGCACAGTTTGGTGGCGGGGGGTGGTAAATAATGGCAGTGTGTTTTTAAATTGTAATTTGGGTGAAAGTTTACAAAACATAGTGACTTTCAGTCATTTGTTCACATTTTGTTCCATTATGTTGTTGTTATATGCCATCCAATCATAACACAGCTAATCTTCCAGTGCAAAATGAATGTCTGATCCTTCATTCTATATTGTCTTTCCCTTTAACCATCCATAAGTGTTAATTCTCTAGTTCCTCATTTCCTACTCCCTTCCTCTCCTTACTAACCATGCTAGGATAGTGATATCTGTATAAACAATGTGGTCTTTATACAGTACTTGTCCTTTTTCACATGGTGTCTTGACTGTTTAGTTTCTGATCCTGGGGAGACCATCAAACTCAATTCATGATTTCTTTACCTGGGCTCAAACTTTCAAAATGCAGTTACTATTAGAGTAACGTTTTGAACTTTTTTTTTACAGATGACAAGAAATTTATGAAAATTAACACTATGATTTCTTTGTGATTTGGAAAGGGGAGCTCAGAGAGACTAAAATTCTCTTCATTCAGAAACATGTAGCTGACGCAGACACACACTATGCCAGAATTGTCTTAGTTCATGTCATCATGTCAACGTATCGTATGTGCAGCACATTGTTTTCTTGAAAATGTGGTATCTTTAAAGCCATTATTTCGAGAGACTCATAGTTCTTAGCACTTTTTTTGGAGCACATTTTATGCTGAATGGATTTTGACAGAGGATGTCACCTGATTCTCTTGAAGCCTGTCACTTTATTCTGGGCACCTGCATCAGTGTTGTCTTCCATTTCCACAAGAAACTAATGAACTCTTTCTCACAAAGCTAAGCTTTGTATGAACCCTGATCTTTTGTTCGTCTTTTATATCTCTGTATTTCCTCTTCTAAAAAGTACATTTTAATTTTTGGAGTTGGGTCTTTCTTAGTATAGTATTCATTTGTTTGCATATTAACTTGTAGATCTCATTTCTGGTTAGCAATTCTCAAAAGTTTGGCGAAATCAGTTGGTTTTCTAGCATATCATTTAACATTGGTATTTACTTTAAGAGATTATGACAGGTTGTTTTCACACCCAGTATTAAATACCTCTTAATTTGACCTACCACTTTATCTGTAGAGTCTCTCTCAGTGCTGTGGAATGAAATCTAATCTAATCTGACCTATAGATCTACTCATAGATAGCGGCACTCCATCAGGTACAAGTCACCGGAGGAGATTGCTTGTCTTTGTCCTTCAAAGCAAACCTGCCAGAGAGCCCCTGCCTTTGGATTAGCAGTACAACTCCTGTGGACTATGCCAGCAGAGCTCCAGCGAGTTTACTTCACATCATTGTGTTGAGAGTCTTGTGGATTTTTTGTGTGTGATGATTGAATTTTTATCTTGATGTTTAGTACTTTTTTTTTTTTTTGATGTTTAGTACTGCTGACAGTTGTCTTAGAAATGATAGCTTTCTGATGTGAACCAGTCCTCCCACCTATCTGAGATAGACACATGACCTGAAGCTACAGAATTCCTCCAGACAAACTGCAAGATTAAATATTTACAGTTCTCATTAATAGAGCACCTATCTAAACAACTACCTAGCAGGATAGTCTTTAATGGCACTGTAAAACTTTGGGGGAAGGGGGGCTGGGAACAGCACTGGTGACAGTGGGTCACTTCTGATGGAGCGACCCTGTTAAACAGTAGACCTGCCTGTAGAGTTTCCTATGCTGAGATATGGAGCCATTAGTGGGTTAACTTTTCACTTAAAAGCCCAACACTTGGGGGGAGGGATTGTATAACAATGAAAGAATGAATTGAGGGGGGAGGGAGTAAGCAGGGAGAAAAGTGCAACAATGAATGAATGGAAACCTTAAGTCTCTGTAAACTTTCATTAAAATTTAAAAAAAAAAACACCCATCACTTAACCATTGCACCTCCAAGTCTGCTTATAAAAGCCTTAAAATGAGAAATTTGCAATACTCTTCACTTTATTCATATAAATCAAGAAGTAGCTTTGTTTTGGTTTGATTTTTAATTTTGTGATTGAAAATGAGGAAATTATGTTCTTTGCAATATAACAACTTTCAGGCCACATTTACTTAGCACTGTTGTCTACAGGTGCACACAGACATACACACACTTACACTCCCTCTTTGTCTCTCATTCTCTCAGCTTACTCTCATTCAAACTTGCTGAAGTGGTTTTTATTTTCAAAATCTTCTGGCCCTGTATGCCTCTCCAAGGACCACTCAATTCCTTTCCTCCTTTTATAGCAAAGCTTTCTTAAGAAGATTGGTCTAGAAATTGCAGCCCAGTGTCTATATTCTTCGTCTGCTCTTGCCCACTTTGCCACTCACACTGTATGTTCTATTACACTCAAATCTTCATATGTTGTGTAATATGCCACACCCTTGCATCTGATTCTTAGCACCTACTCTTCTCCTGTCTGCAGTACTTCTGTCATCCCACACCTCCACCTTTCCTCCACCACCTACTTTGACATTCTTTGTGGTTCTGTTTAAACCTCAATTCCTCGCAGAGAAGATTTTCCCCTTCCATAACATCTGTCTTACTTTTGTGTATTGTCTTTTTTTTTCCTTGCTGGACAGTAAGATCTAAGTAGCAGAAATCTCTTCTGTCCCTCATCTTCTACACCTAGCATTATTTTTGGCACTTAGGAGATGGAAAGAAATCAAAATTAAGAGATAAGGCCTTTACTCTTAATATGTTCAACGTCTAGTGGAAGCTAGTGATGAAGAAATAACCTACATATATGTTATACATTACTCCAGTAAAATGCTGTGTGATCTTGGAGGGGAGTACATGAGTGATTAACTTGGCCTGGGGTAGCATTTTCCCTGAATAACTTAGCATTACTGAAGAAATTGTCAGATAACATACAGATGGAAGTAAAGGAAGTTGTTGCGAGCAACAGAATTGATTTTGTTGCATTTTACTCGCTAGTTGTACAGGACTATACGACCCAGCAGACTTTCAGCATCCTAAGATAGTATCTCAAGACCTTCAGAAATTCTGAGCTAGTTGACAGTAATGGTTAGTCAGCTACGTGTGCTCACTGAGTGGCTCCGTCTCGGGTCGTTCTAATCAGAATCGGTGCTGGGCCCTTTATACTCCACCTACAAGGTGTGCATTGCAGGTTCATCTTCAGGTGCTAACAGTTAAAACGGACTGTTAAATTCATGAATACCAAAGTTCCTTTCATGAGGGGATTTTTCATGTTTTCTTGTCCTTCCAGTTTTGACAGCCATTGAAGGCACAGCACATGGCGAGCCCTGCCACTTCCCTTTTCTCTTTCTGGATAAAGAATATGATGAATGTACATCAGATGGAAGGGAAGACGGCAGACTGTGGTGCGCTACCACTTATGATTACAAGACAGATGAAAAGTGGGGCTTTTGTGAAAGTAAGTAGTATTCTGTAAGAAAGTGTGTCAATGTTGTTTTATGTTAAGGCCCATATTTCAAATATTCAAGTTGTTGTGTGCTATCGAATTGGAACTGACCCATAGCTGACCCTCTGGTGGGTTTTCAGAGGTAGTTAATCACATGGGAGGAGACTGACTGCCCATCCTTCTCCTGGAGAGCAGCTGGTATATTCAGACCACCTGCCTTTGGGATTGCAGCACAGCTTCTGCCTCTAGGCCACCAAAGCTTCTTATTCAAATGAGAAGACTTATTAACATGACTGTTACGCAAATATGAACACCAACAGCCAAAGCAGAGGACGTTGAAGATTTTTACCAAATTTTGCAGTCCCCAGCTGACCAAACAATCAATGTGTGTTACTAGTAACTGGGGATTAGAATGCAAAAGGTTCAAACAATGAAAAAGGACTCACAAAAAGTTTAAACTTGGGAGTGGAAATGAGGTAAAAAAAATTGAATTTTGTATGCTTAGTAATTTATTCAGCACAAATACCTTTTATAAAAAAAAAAAACCAAACACAAATGGCAGCTTCAGACATAGACGTCACCTGATGGACTGCATAGGAATCAGATTGTCTACATCTATAGAAGGAATCACTGGAAAAGCTCAATATTCAGTCAAAACAGAGCCAGCTGCCGAATGTGGAATGGACCATCAATTACTCATCTACTAGTTAAAATTGAGGCTGAAGAAAATTAAAACAACGTCCACAGGAAACCTAAGTATGACTTTGAGTCTTGTCCCACCTGAATTTAAAAATCATCTTCAGAATAGGTTTAAAGCATTGAATACCAGTGATCACCAGATGAGTTCTGGGATGACATCAAAGATGTCATCTGTGAAGAGGACAAAAGGTCATCACAAAGACTTGTAGAAAAGAGAGGGGGGAAAAAATCCATGTCAGAAGAAACACTGAAAATTGCACTAGAGCATCGAGAAGCCAAAACAAAGGGAAAGATGCTGAAATGAAAGAGCGGAACAGAGTACTTAAAAGGGCAGCTAAAGAAGACAAAACAGTATTATAATGGAATGTGCAGAGAGCTCAAATCAGAATAAAAAGGAAAGAACTGGCTCAATATTTCTAAAGCTGAACTGAAAAATTTAAGGCTTGGGTTATAGTACTTAAGACGCTATGGGTAAAATCTTGAGTGATGTGTGAACCATAAAAAGAAGATGAAAGGAATACACAGAGTGATGGTAGCAGAAAGAATTGGCTGGCACTGAAAGATGTCAAGAAGTGTCATGTGCTCAGGAGCCAATTGTAATTAAGAAGTTCAGGCTGCACTGAAGGCATTGGTAACAAATAAGACCCCAGGAGTCGATGAGACATATTTTCAATATGTTGGACATATTCCAATTAGTTAACATATTTCCAGTAACAGATGTAGCCTCAGATGTGCTCACCAGTCTGCCAAGAAAGTTGAAGGACAGCTACCTAGCTGACTAACTGGAAGAGATCCATATTTGTTTCCATTCCCGAGAATGGGGCTCCAAAAAAATGTGGAATTATTGAGCAATATTAATAATATCACACGCAAGCAAAAATAATGCTGAAGATCTTTTTAAAAAATGGCTCCAACAGTACCCCATGTATTGACAAAACTGATAGAAGTTCTTCAGGCTGGATTTAGAAAAGGCCGTGACACCAGTGGTGTTAAAATTGATGTCAGATGGATCCTGGCTGAAAGCAGAGAATACCAGAAGAATGTCTGTCTGTGTTTTATTGATGATGCAAAGGTATTTGTGTGGATCATAACAAATGATGGCTAGCGTTGAGGAGAATGGGAAGAAGAATGTGGCATCAAGATTAGAGGAAAACTCATCAACAGCCTGTGTTATGTATGTGACGCAGCTTTGCTTGCTAAAAGTAAGGAGGACTTGAAGCACTTGTTGCAGAAGACCAGACTCCTGCCTTCACTGTGGATTGCATCTCAGCATCAAGAAAACAAACATTCTCACCACTGGACTAATAGGCAACATCACGATATATGGAGAAAAGATTGAAACTGTCAACAGGTTCCTCTCACTTGAATCCATAGTCCACACACTTGGTACCAGTAGTCAGGAGATCAGGAGACATACTACATTGGGAGAGTCTGCAGTCAGGGACTTCTCCAAACTGTTGAGGAGCAACGGTGTCAGTTTGAACATCAGGGTGCACCTGATTCAGGCGCTGGGCTTTTCAGTCACTTACGGTGCATCTGAGAGCTGGACAGTAAGGATGAAAGAAGAAAAATTGATGCCTTGGGAAGTGTACTGAATGTCCCACGGACTACCAAAAGAACAAACAGGAGAGAACAGCCAGAGTGCTCCTTGGCGGCAAAGAAGACAAAGCTTCGCCTCACATACTTGGCATGTTGTTGAAAGGGGCTGCTGCTTGGAGAGGACATTGTGCTTGGAAAGGTGGAATTGACACAGTGACTGCTGCAGTGGGCTTGAATATATCAGAGCCGATGAGGGTGGCACAGGATAGTACCTGGTTCAGACCTGTTGATCACTCTGAGTCATACTCAAATTTAACAGCATCTAACAACCCTTCAGTAAGCCACATTCTAGCCATCGCCTTCCACTTCTATTAGAACTGGTCAGTGTTAATGGCATGGTTAAAGACGTAGAGACCAGAGACTCAAGACGCATGCAGGATGCTTATTTCCACTCTGGTCTCAGGCAACTCCTCAAGTTCTTCATTTCTTATTTCAAAATTATTTTGTTATGCACACCCATGTTTATTGCAGCTTTGTTCACACTAGCAAGGAGCTGGAAACAATCTAAGTGCCCATCAACAAACGAATGGATAGAGAAGATCTGGTATATTCATACCATGCAGTACTATGCTACGTTGAAAAACAACTCATGCAATATTATTCAAAATGGGTGACCCTGGAGGACATTTTGCTGAGTGAAGTATCTCAGTCACAAAAGGACAAATACTGCATGGTGCCACTGTTGTAAAATGGAAGTGACTTCGGGGTTAAGGGGAGACTGAGAAAGATGGGTTCAATAATGTATACTGCATTGAAACAGATGAGGGAGAAAACTGTTTAAAAGGGATATGTGATTAGGTATTTTTGTCATGACAGGAGTCCAGAGCAAAGGCTGCATAGTGGGGTGAAACTGGGGGAGGGATTGTAAAACAATGGAAGAAGTTTACTTTTCCAAGAGAGTAGTGTACTGGGGGGAGGGTTGGGAGGGTAGAAAAGTGCAACAGTGAATGAATGGAAATCCAAAGTCACTGGAAATTTTCATTGAAATTAATAATAAATTTAAAAAAATTGTTGTTGATGTGTATAAGTTGTTCTAAACCCTTCAAGCGGACTGTTAAACTAATGTAGCTGTGAATAGAAGAAAAATACATTAAAAATTTTTTTTTGTAATAAGAATTTTTTTAAATCTAAGAACATAGTAACAGTGTACATCAACTTTTCCTTTTCTCAAAAAGATGAGGATTTAAAGTCAATTTATGATCAATACAAAGTGCATTATGATGCATTCCTAATAGCCTTTAATTTCGTTAAAGAATAGTTATGCCTTAGCATGTTTATTGCATAATTTCCTATTTAGAGCAACAATTCATCTAGTTAATCTTACTTAAATGGTGTAAATTACACCTTTTTTTACCTTTTTCTTTTTTTATTATTACTAATTTTAATAAAAGTTTACAGAGACTTTGGATTTCCATTCATTCATTCTTGCACTCTACTCCCTGCCCACCAGTTTGCTCTTCTTTTTAAAAAGTAAAAGAAAAATTCTTTCATTGTTATGCAATCCCTCCCCCCAAGTCCACTTCTCCATGAAGCCTTCATTCTGGACTCCTGTCATAACAATAATACCTAATCATATATCCCTGAGTGAAGTATGCTATGGTAAAGTAACAGCAGATATATTTATCTGATTTTAATATTAATACCTGTATTGAATGAGCTGACTTCTTAACAGGCATGCTCTGTTTTCGTAGCCTTTTAAGGGTAAAATAATAATAGGAAAAATTTTCTAACTGTAAGATAACAGGATAAACTTTCCAACTATAATGTAACAAGAAATTCTTCCTTATACCCTTATTGATACTAAATAGCATGTTTTAAATCTGTTTATGTATTATTCTTCTTTGCTCTCTTTTTTAAAAATTTAAGTGAAAAATCTACAAACCATCCTGGGTTTTCATTCTATCATTCATAGACATTTTGTTTTCTAACAATAACAGTTGATGGAATAGTACTTTGAATGTTAGATTAAATCAGTATATTTAATGTAAAACCATATATTTTCCTAATTTTTATTGTATAAGTAATCATTATTACCTTCTCTTTATAAAGAATACAACATGACTAGGACAAGTTGGCCACGGTTCTCCGATGTCCTTCTGCTTTTAACTAACTTTGGTATATTTATAATCATAAGCTCCCACTAAACTTTAGAGTTGAGTAATATAAAAGATTTTAGAAAGACTAAAAGTAGCCCCCCCAAAAATAATTTTGTTACTGGATTGACACAGTGACTCTAATAATGGACTCCGGTCTCTGAGAGATGGGGACGGTGTCACAGGATAGGATCAGGTTCAGTTCTGTTGTTCATCACGTTACTGTGAGTCCTAGTTGATTGGGGAGCACAGAGCAACAACATTGCTTTTTCTAGAAAATAATGACATAAACTGGTATATTTAGACAAAAAATAAATCCTAGCAGCCACACTTTAGCCACGCGTTTTTTAAAGTTGGAATAAATGAACTACCCAAAAGGAAAACATACGTATTGATGTTTGGTTATGCAATGTTAGGTCTGTTTCAATGCATGGATATTTTACTCTTAGCTGAAGAGGAGGCTGCTAAAAGACGCCAGATGCAGGAAGCAGAAATGATGTACCAGACTGGGATGAAAATCCTCAATGGAAGCAATAGGAAAAGTCAAAAAAGAGAGTAGGTATTGCTAAATCCATTCTCCCAAGATAGGCCGTTACTGAGGTAAATTGTTGAGTATTTAATTGTTTTTCAAAGTGTGCTGTTGAAGACAGCCGGGATAAAAGCTATGTTACAGGAACATTTTATATGGAGTTGAATGGCATTGCCTGCATAAAAATTTAGGTTCTTGGGATAAAATGTAAATAATCATCTCAAAAATGAACAATCAGCAGAATATAAATAGTTGGCTACAGTTATTATCGTATATCAGAACCAAGAATATATAAACATACTGTTCAGATTTCAAAGTGAAATAAAAGGAAATGTAGCAGAGTGTTTTGGTTTTCTTCTCTTCTTCAAGGCAAAGACTAGAATTTAAGAATTGTCCTTTGAGAAGAATGTGAAACAAGTGACTGTCTTTGCTAAGATTTTGTTTGATTTTAGCTGTTTTTTTAAATTTTCATATTATCAGGAAAATTTGAAAAAAATTAATGTAGAATTTTAATGGATACTATCATATTGCTTATACTTCTCCAAATGAAATTTTAGTTAATTTTTAAGAAATTTTTTTTCATTCCTTAGATTATTCTAAGATAACAGGATCACAGAGTAAACCAGTGCTTTGCATAAAAAATACAGTAGCCAAAATGTTTTCTACAGTTAGTAGAATTAAGATCTTAGAGGAATTCTGTAGATTAAGGAATGATTTATGCTATGTTCTAATTGATCTTAAAAACTGTAAGGGCTATTGAGGATGGCTATGCTAATATTTTGTCTTAATTCCAATTTCCATTTGAAGAGCTTATCGGTATCTGCAGAAGGCAGCCAGCATGAACCATACCAAGGCCCTGGAAAGAGTGTCCTATTCTCTGTTGTTTGGAGATTACTTGACACAGAATATCCAGGCGGCTAAAGAGATGTTTGAGAAACTGACTGAGGAGGGATCTCCCAAGGGCCAGACCGTAAGTGCACTTTCAAAGGAGACTCTCCACGCACATCGCCTGCTTTTCTCGGCTGTTTACTGTCTGCACCCTCACTTCTGTTATTTCATTCCAGTTAAAACTGGAAGGTAAAAATATCTTAAATATTAAGTTTTGGGTAGATTTCTTTTTTTATCTATTTTAAATATTCTTTCAGTTTGGTCAATGAAAAATTTTTCCCCCCAGTTGTCTGAAATTTCTATAACCTTGCTCCATGGATGGTGTAGAGCAAAGCCTCAAACCATTTCAGCACTGCTCTTGCAAGCACTATAGGAATACACAGGAAAATTTAAGCTCAGTGAACACATATAAGTTGTGGTTTCCCCAAACTATGTCGATAGTTTTCTAAATATGGTCTATATTTTTTGTTTGGGGTTTTTTGTGTTTTGTTTTGCTTTTGCTTTTTAGTGAAGGTTTTCAAAGAGATTGACTTTCCCTCATTCATTCATGCACATTTTCCCCTCCCTCCCCCAGTTCCCTTTGTGACACTTTTTCTATTACAGGCTATTAATTGTCATATATGTAGATAACTATCTTCTATCTGAAATTACTTGCCATTACATTTTTACCAAAGTTCAAATGCTTCAGCACTTACTACTCTTAATGGCTTGATTAAAAAAAGAATCTTATTCCAGAAGCAATACATGTATACTGTAGAAAAGTAGAGCTGCAAGTTAGCAGCAGAAGAAAGTTAACAACAGCACATTTCCACAGTTCAGGTGTCACAGTTGTTAATGGTCATTCGCTCATATCATTCTGAACCTGTCTCATTATATACACATGGGAATTTTTATATAAATAAAAGTGCCCTGTAAACTGTTTCATAACTAGCTCTTTTTGGAAAATAGTTTTCATTCCAGTTATTATATAATACCATATTCTCTTCGATAATTTCTGCACTCAGGTCACCTTTCTTTGGAATGGGAACAAGTATCAATCTCTTTCAGTCAATTGGCCAGCTGGCTCTCCCCCAGATTTCTTGACACAACCTAGTAAGCACATCTTGGGTAGTGTCTGTTTGTTGAAATATGTCAATTGGTATACCATCAAATCTTGGAGCCTTGTTTTTTGCCAATTCTTTCAGAGCAACTTGAACTTCCTCCTCCATCACCACAGGCTCTTCCTCATACGTTATTTCATGAAATTTCTTCTGTATCAGCCAATTCCTTCTGGTACAATGACTCTATAGTCCTTCCATCTTCATTTATTGCTTCTTGGATTATTTAACTCTCTACCGAAAGTTTCCTTAAGTATTGCCACTCGTGGCTTGAGGGTTTTTTGGTCTTTTTTGGGGGGTTTGTTGTGTTTTAGTTTTTGGGGGGTTTTTTTCCAATTCTTTCAGCTTAAGAAACGCCGAGTGAATTTGGCCCTTTTGATTTTCTGGCTCCACCTCTTTGCACATTTCATTATAATATCTTGCTTTGTCGTCCCGAGCTGCCCTTTGAAATTTTCTGTTCAGCTCTTTGATTTCTTCCTTTAGCTTTGGCTTCTTGGTGCTCTAATGCAATATTCAGAGTCTCATCTGACGTCCGTCTTGGTCTTTTCTTCCTCTTCAGCCTTTGTGATGATCTTTTGCATTCTTCATGGACGATATTCTTGACATCCTCCCACAGCTCATTTGGTTTATGCTCATTGGTGCTCAAAGCCTCAAACCTGTTCCTGAGATGGTTAAGAAATTTGAGTGGGACAGACTTAAGGTCAAATTTAGGTTTGTGGATTTGACTTAATTTTCTTCAACTTCAGCTTGAACTTGCATATGAGTAGTTGGTGGTCTGTCTGTCCCACAATCAGCACCTGATCTGGTTTTCACAGCTGATATTGAGCTTCTCCAGTGATTCTTTCCACAAATGTAATTGATTTGATTCCTATCGATACCATCAGGTGAAAGTCAAGTATATAGCCTGTGTTTGTGTTTCTTGTAAAAGGTATTTGTGATGAATAAATCATTGAATGTGCAGAATTCTATCATTCTGTCTCCAGCCTCATTTCTGTTGCTGAGTCCATGTTTTCCAGTTACTGATCCTTCTTCCCTCTTCCCAGCTTTTGCGTTCCAGTTGCCCATTATTATCAATCCATCTTGATTGCACCTGCCAGAAGTGCAGGCTGGGTTTAGAAGAGGTCGTGGTACTAGGGATAATAGTAGCTATTATAGTATACTATAGTATACTAGTAGCTGATGTTAGATGGATCTTGGCAGAAAGAGAGAACCAGAGGAATGTCTATCTGTGCTTCACTGACAGTGCAAAGGCTTTTGACTGTGTGCATCACAACAAGCTGTGGCTGACTCTGAGAAGAATGGGAAGCCCAGAACATTTGACTGTGCTTATGCAAAACCTATACTTGGACCAAGAGGCAGTCCTCAGAACAGAGCAAGGAGACACTACATGGTTCAAAATTGGAAAGGGGGTCCACCAGGGATGTATTCTGTCTCCATACCTTTTCAATCTGTATGCAGAACAGATCATCCAGGACGCTGAGCTGTATGAGAAGGATGTGGCATCAGGATTGTTGGAAGATTCATCAACAACCTGCGTTATGCAGATGACACAACCCTGCTTGCTGAAACTGAAGAGAACCTGAAGTGCTTGCTGCAGAAGGTCAATGACTGCAGCCTTTAGTACAGATTGAAGCTCAACATCAAGAAAACAAAGATTCTCACCAATGGGCCAATTGGCAGCATCAGTATAGATGGTGAAGAATTGAGATAGTGAACAGTTTTGGTTTGCTTGGCTCCACAGTCAACACTCTTGGTACCAGCAGCCAGGAAATCAAGAGTCGAATTGCATTGGGAAAGTGCTGTCAAGGAACTCTCAAGAGTACTGAAGAGCAACAATGTTAGGCTAGAGACTAAGGTGGGCCAGATCCAGGCTATAGTCTTCACAATTGCATGCTATGCATCGGAAAGCTGGACAGTGACTAGGGATGATAGAGAATTGATGCCTTTGAGCTGTGGTGCTGGAGAAGAGTGTTGAATATACCATGGACTGCTAGGAGAACAAACAACTGGGCTGCGCCTTGGAGTCAAGAATTCTGAAGCTTCATCTGACATACTTTGGCATGTTGCAAGGAGGGACCAGTCCTTGGAGAGGGACATCATGCTTGGAAGGGTGGAGGGACAGCGCAGGAGAGGAAGATCCTCAATGAAGATGGATCGATTCAGTGATTGGGGTAGTGGGAGTAGGTGTGTTGGAGACAGTGAGGTTGGCACAGGATAGAGCAAGGTTTAGGACTCTTGTACATAGGGTCACTATGAGTTGCAAGCAACTTGATGGCACATAACAACACAACCATATTCTGTATTGTTGTTGTTGTTGATATCGGTCGAGTCAATCACGACTCATAGCGACTCCATGAACAAAAGACCTAATGTCTTTCTATTACTATCGTCATTTCTCCAAGTTCATAGTGTTTCATAGCCATATGGTTTAGGAAGTGGATGCCCCTCCTGCTTCCAAACCTGTTTTTCAACTAGGAGACAGTAAGGTTGGCTCAGGATAGAGCAGGGTTCAGAGCTGATTTACCTAGGGTTGCTGTGAATCACAAGCAGTCCCTCCCCTTCTACCTTTATCACTGTAACTTACTCTGACTCTCATTAAGGATGCTTCAGCACAGGGGAAAGGGATTATTGTGTGTGAAGAAAACGGCTCTGATGTAAGCAAAGGCAAAGAAGACAAAGCTCTACTTCACATACTTGGAGCATGTTGTTAGGAGATGCTGTTCCTTGGAGAGGGACATCATGCTTGGAAAAGTAGAAGGTCGGCGAAAGAGAGGAAGACCTTCATCTAGATGGATTGACATGATAACAGCTGTAGTGACTCAAGTATGTCAAAAATTATGAGGATGGCACAGCATAGGACAGTTCAGATCATCTCTTGTTCATAGGCTTAAGAGTTGTATTTGATTCGACAGCACCTAACAAAAACATTACAAAGTGGCCTCCCTCTCCCTCCCAGCTCCTCCTCTTCACCCCCTGCTGCCTCTTTATTCCTAGCATACTGTTGCTTGATAACCTCTTACCTTTTTCATAGTGTACCCCACTCTGTAAGTTGATAGGATGTTTGTGGGGTTTTTTTGGTTCATAGTAGTTATTCAGAAAGATAAAGTAAAATTCATATTTAAGTGATTTTTTTCCTAATGAATATTTTATAATAAGCTTTTATAATATTTTAAGTCTCCAAGTTAAACTTTTCAACTTACTTGAAGTTCTTTTTCATTTTGTTATTTGCAAAACAATGAATGTATTTCTTATACTCTTTAATTCCACCCTTGTATATACTTGGCACACAGAATTTAATCTTTAACAATCAGATTCCCTGGCATCTGTATGTATCTAAGTCTGCCTTAGACTTTCACCAAAGAAAGAAGTCTTACTTTTATCATTTTGTTTCAGGCTCTTGGTTTTCTGTATGCCTCTGGGCTCGGTGTTAATTCAAGTCAGGCAAAGGTAACCCTATTACATTTTTATTGTAATCTGTCATTTAAATTGGATAAATATGTGCCTGTGTTGAGCCAAGCTTTTTTTGTTCTTCCACAGGCCCTTGTGTATTACACTTTTGGAGCTCTTGGGGGCAACCTGATAGCCCACATGGTTTTGGTGAGTACAACTTATGTTGTAGGTTAGCAGCACTGAGTAGCAGAAGTGGCAAAACAATTTATAATGGTCATAACTTTTCCATCCTTCATGATTAATACTTGCTTATTATAGTTACTTAAAGCCTAATAATCACTTGAATAACCTTCAGATACTTGCTAATGATTCTAGCAAATTAAATTGATAACTATAAAAAATAGAGACCTGGTAAATGGCTTTTTAAATTATAATAAATTTAAATTTACTTATCTTGCATTTTGCAATTAGGTTGATAAAGTACTTAAACAAAAACCTGTTTTATAAAAGACATAAAGCAGTAGCTCTTGTTTATTGCCTTGATAGCACTGGTCATTTGAATGGTGATCACTATGAGAGTTATGTGCCATTGAATCAGAGCAGACTCGCAGCTGACCCTCCAGTGGTTCTTTAGAGGCTATAAATAGCACAGGAGATTGCTCATCCTTGTCCTTTGAAGAAGTTGGTGGATTTGAACCACACACCTTTGGTTTGGAATCACAACTCCTTACCACTACAAAATAGCTCACTGTAGGACAGAGATCGTAAGGATCACACCGAATACGTATGGTTCAGATATGTGTTCACAGGATTACTCTGAATTGTAGTCACTGGAAGGCAGACTAATAACAACAGATGAAGTCTCAAGTGCACCTGATCCAAGCAATGGTATTTCCACTCACCTCTTATACATGTAAAATCTAGGCAGTGAATAAGGAAAAACAAAGAAGGTTTGGTGAACTTGAGTTATAATGTTGCCAAAGAATATTGAATTTACCAAAAAGAAGAAACAGATCTGTCTTGTAAGAAGTACAGTCAGGATCTCCTATTATAAGGAAGGATGTAAGACCACCTCATATTCTTTGGACATGTTAGCAAGAGGGACCAATTCCTGAAGTACGCCAGGCTTGATAAACAAGGTCACTGAGAGGAGGAGACTCTGAGTGAGATGTAATGACAGAGGAGGTGCATCAGGGGACATAGCCTTAATTGTGAGGATGGCATAGGCCTGGACAGGAATTCTGTTCTGCCTGGAGTCACTGTGAAACAGAATGGACTTGATAACACCTGAACAGCAGTGATAAGACTCTTCCTACCAAACCCCTTTCGGCTTAAATGGTTAAAATTTGTTTATCCTGCATTCTGCTTTGTAAACTTGACCTTCAGCAAGTCACATGACTTCTCATCCTTGTTACTATGTGCAGAATTAATGTTTATTCATATAGGAATGTAAAATGTAGATTGTTCAGAAATTAAACAGCAGAGAAACCAGTCAAAAATCTAAATAAGGAAGAGGGAGAAAAGCTGACTCTCCAGCCTTGGTCATTGGTAAGATTAAAGACTTAAAAAATAAAGAATCCCTACTTCCCTGACCATCTGGCAAGAACCTAGATATTTCTACCTGCCATGCATGTTTATTGAGTATCTGTCCTTTCTGCTTATTGGGACCATCAATTGCTCATGTGTAAGTTCAAGTTGAATCTAAAGAATATGAAAACAAGTCCACAGGATCCACATTATAACCTACTCTGACTGGGTTTAAAAACCATCTGAAGAACAGATTGAATTGTAATGAGTGAAGACTAGATGACTTGTTGGATGACATCAAGAATTTGTCATCCTTGAAGAAAGCCAACAGTCATTACAATAACAGGAAAAAGAAAAGACCAAAATGGTCAGAAGAAACTTTGAAACTTGCACTAGAACATTGAAAGGCCAAAACAAAAGGAAGAAATGCTAAAATAAGAGAGCTGAACATAAAATTTCAAAGGACATCCCAAGAATACAAAGCAAAGTGAAATGTGGAAGGACCTTGAGTTAGAAAATAAAAAATAACATGCGAAGCATTTCTCAACCTGATAAAATGGAAGAACAAATTTAAGCGTCAGGTTGAATTCTAGAAAACTTAATTTTGCTCATGCAAAACCTATACATGGACAAACAGTTGTTCAGACATTTTAAGAGAACACTGCAAGGTTTAAAAATCCGGAAAGATTGCATTAGAGTTGTATCCTCTCTCCATAACTCTTCTATCTGTAGGCTGAGCAAATAATCCAGGATACTGGTCAATATGATGAAGATGGCATTAAGATTGGAGAAAGACTGTCACACAGATGACACAACCTTGCTTGCAGAAAGTGAAGGACAATTGAAGCACTTACTGCAAAAGATCTAACACTATAGCTTTCAATATGGATCACATTTCAGCTTCAAGAAAACTAAATCCTCACCACTGAACTAATAGGCACCATCATGATAAGTATGATGAAAATATTGAAGTGTTCATGATTTCATTTTCTTGGATCCACAGTCAATACCCATAAATCAGCACTCAATAAATTAAAAGTTCTGTTGCATTGGGAAAATCTGATATAAGTTCTCCCAAGTGATAAAGAGAAAGGAGGTCGGGTTAAAGACTAACGTGCACCTGCTCCAAGCCCAGCTCTCTTCGGTTACTTTCAGTACTTCTGAAAGTTGGACAGTGACTGATGACAGAGAATTGACACCTGTGAATTGTGTTGAGTACTGATTAGCCCTGGACTGCCAAGAGAACAAACAGATCTGTCCTTAAGGAAGTACAGAGGTGTTCATTAAAGGCAAAGATGGTGGAACTTTGTCTTATTCACCTTGGGCAGGTCGAAAGGGATCAGTCCTTGGAAAAAGTCTTATAGACTATATCATAGGGTGGAGCATGTGGGAGGTACTGAGGACAGTGCAGGATACGGCAGAGTTCAGATCTATTGTTCACAGGGTCTTTGTAAGTTAAAGTCAGCTTGATGGCACCTAACAACAAGGACGGGGACTTCAAAACTAAGGCATAGTCCCTGTTTTCAAGAAGCTTTTGATTCTGAAAGGGAGACAAAAGTAAGGACATCTTACGGTATAGTCCATGAAATCAGGAGGCCTTAGGGTATAATGAGATTTTAGGGATCACTGAAATACTGGAATAGAGAGGAAAATTGAGTAGGGTGAAACTTTGAGGCAAGAAGCAACTGAAATGATGCTTGAGGAACAAATAGTAATGAGCTATTAGAGGAAGTTGAAGGTTGCCGAGGAAACAAAAGTATGAAAAGGAAGAAAGGTGAATGTAGTGCTTGCAAGAAAACACGAATGAGTTCATGTGTTTAAAAAGTAGAACCACAGTTCATCACCTGGGCAGGTAGATAGGAGTGACTAGAAGGGCTTTAAACCAAACTGTGAGCCTGGACTTCATCCTGTTACAGTGTTAAACCACGAAAGGTGTCTACCCAGGGAAAAAACTTTCTGAAATACTCCTCATGACTTTCAAAGTTAAATTTGTAGTAAATTTCTTCGTTAAACAAGAATTCAAAGTCATTCTCAGTGGATTTTCAAGAAACACAAAACATAGTATTTTACATGGAAAAGAGTGTTAAATCTTTTGATAAAAGTTGGGGGGGCGGTTT